TTTTGCCTGTAGAGTCAATTCCTACTCATGTGGAACTACTTGATAGGATGTAAGGAAGGAACTCTGGTGACGCAGTGGCTAAGCACTCAGCTGCTCACCAAAAGGTCTGTTCAAACTCACCCAGCAGTTCAGCGGAAGAAAGACCTGGCAATCTTCCTGCAAGGATTTCAGCCTAGGAAAATCCTATAGGGTACTTCTACTCTGTCCTAAAAGGTCACCGTGAATCAGAATCAACTGGACACCACAACAACATTCTGAAATTTCCTCACAGTGAAGCTAAGCATACACTATCTTCTAGGACTGCATCCACTTAATAATATGACCAGCAGTGGTTTGGGGTTCAGGACCCAATAGGCTGTAACTTGGCACCGAGTTGACTAAACTTTGTAGAAAGCTGGAAACACGGCATGTTGGTACCACACTGTTCATCACATCTAACATGTGCCTTTGAGAGTCCAGGGGTTGCTTCTCAGCTCCACAAGCCCCCATGAGAAGGGTCCCTAATTGTAAGGGATGATTCTGCAAGGGCGGGTGCTGCCCATTCTGACAGGTACATTTCTTATATATTACAGAAGCCTCATCTTGTTTATTTACTTTGGGCGAAATACACACCATGAAACATACGCCAATAATTTCCTCTAGTATAATTCTGAGACATTCTTCAATTTGTGCCACTTTTCTTGACAATTTTTTTCTGAACTATTTAACACCAACTGACTACCCATCCCCCACCCATCCAGGTTTCTCATCTATCCTTTAGAATTGCTTTGTCTATTTGATCACATGGATGGGAGCACGGTGGCTCTGTAGATATGCCCCAGACTGCGAACCACAAGGTCACAGTTCAAGCCCACTAGTCTCTCAACAGGAGAAAGATGAGGCTTTCTGCTCCTGCAAAGATTTACAGGCTCAGAAGCCCTATATAAGGTCTCCTTTTGGGACTGAGTCAATGGCACTTAACAACAACAACAACAATTTTGTCACGTATACAGGCAGTTCCCATGTTACAAATGACCGACTTACATATAACCTGAAGCTACTAACCAACCCCCATAAAGCCTAGTACTATGTATGAGGGGGCTTCAAAAAGTTTGTGGAAAAATGGAATGAAAAGATAATGGAGTTTTTTCAGGAACTGTTTAAAGCACCCCTCATATTAAAAACTTTGAGGTTTATGGTAACAAAAGAAATGATACATTGTGATGCACATCAAAACTGTATTGTAGGAATATATATATATATTTCATTGGTTTTGAGTCTCAAGAAAGTTCAGAATAAAACAGTCAGGGATGCCTTGCAATATTTAGTCCAATTAGAAACCAATATCTACATTGAGCTTTATGCTCTTTTAAAGAATTATCTATAGGCAGCTGCCAGATTATGAATAAATTCTTCAATCTGTCTTTAAGTCTAATTTGTATGCAAATCGGAACAGTAGAGGTCTTATCTAATGTCAGTTTGTCAAATGTTTATTTTACTATATAGTGTACTTTTCTAGGCATAAAAAAACCCATGAAAGAAACACTTCCAGATATACTAAAACATCATTAACATAATGGTGGTGGTAAGGAGCTCTGGTAGCAGAGTGATTATGAATTGGGCTGTGACCTGTGAGGTCAGCAGTTCGAAACTACCAGTTGCTCCGCAGGAGAAAGATGAGGCTTTCTGCTCCCGTAAAGATTTACAGCCTCGAAAACCCTGTTCAGGGTCACTATGGGTCAGAACCTACTCGATGGCACTTAACAACAACATATGGTGGTGGTGATGTACCATGGAGTCGGTTCTGACTCTTAGTGACCCTGCATAGGGTTTCTGAGGCTGTAAGTCTTTATGGGAGCAGAAAGCTTCATCTTTCTCCCATGGAACAGCTCATAGTTTCAAATTGCTGATCTTGAGGTTAGCAGCCCGATTCGCAATCACTATGCTACCCAAGCTCCGAGCTCCTCTCCCTCTCTCTTTCTCTCTCTCTCTATATATGGAGAAGTTTATTATTTTACAATTATAGAGTCCCAGGTTCCCAGCAGAAGAGAGAGAGAGTCCCTTCCGCATGTCCATTATATTGGGAGCAGGCCACACACCCAAGTGATTGGTTGCTTATAGCCACTCATATGCCTGATTAGGTTTCATTACCATGAGAATGAGTACATGCCAACTGCTGAACCTCAGGATATACTGGCCTAGTCTAGCTGACACAAAATCCTAACCATTACATTGACTTAAAATGGGCTTCCATTCCAATGACTTTTTTGTAACTCAATTCTTATGTAAGGTGAATATTTCATTTTCTTTTTTTAGATTTCATTATTATTGTCTTTTACTATCAGTATCTCTAGAAATCTGATCTTTATCTGCCTTTGGGGTTTGGCATGAGAATGATTGTTGTTATTAAGTGTTGTTGAATTGGTTTCTACTCATAGCAACCCTGTATAGAGTTTCCAAGGAGCAGCTGGTGGGTTTGAACCTCCAAATTCACGGTTAGCAGTCTGGTGCTTAGTCTTTAGTACCACCCCAGGACTCCATGAGAATGATGGTGATGGTGGCGATAGTTGTATGTTGTTAAGCTGGATCATAATGACCTTTTTTTAAGGGAGCAGAAAGCTTCATTGTTCTCCCATGGGGCAGCTGGTGGATTTAAACTGCAGACCTTACAGTTAGCAGCCGAATTTATAACCCACTGTACCACCAGTGTTCCTTCCATGAGAGTAATAACACCGGCAAATTACATGCTTCAGCACTGTAGTACGTATTACTAACCGTCAGATGTAATGACAACAAAGACACCCTGTGTTTGTGCAGTTTGTTGTAAAATGAATGCCACTTGAATACCTCATGAGTCAGAGACTACCTGTATTTGGTTCAAAGATGATTTCAGGGGATAGTTTTGGTGAAAGGTTTAAAGATGAGGCTTTTTGCTCCCATAAAGATTTACAGCTTCGGAAACCCTATGCAGGGTCACTATGAGTCAGAACTGACTCCATGGCACATCACCATGAGGGTAATAGTCTCAGGGTGTCATCTGCCTCCATGACTCCAGAAAGTCTGGATTCCATGAGAATTTAAAATTCTGTTCTACATTCCCCCACTTTTGATCAGAGTTAATCTATAGACTCCTTGATCTAAATGTTCAATAATCGGTAGCATGTGTAATCTAGTTCTTCTGGTAAAGGAGGCAGTTAGAAGCCATGGCTCATGAGTGTGGCTTCTGAAACCGCATAGAGAACATATTCAGTGTATAGGAAACACCACAGAGGTTGGATCACAGTGGCTTTTGGAGTCTATGCATTCTCTCACAATCCTGTCAACACAAGGTCATTTTTATAGTCAACATTGTTGCTTGGGAACACGGCTGACCTTTTACATTTACAAGGACTCAGGATATTTCCCTAAGAAACAGTGGTAAAAGAAAGTAAACCCACTGAAGACAGATTCCCATCTGTTGTTAATCCTCCCTTCCTCTCAGCAGTTCCACCTCAGGGCCTA